TCGTCAAGGCCGTGCTGGAGCCCTTTACCGGGAACTCGCGCCTCTCCCCTGGATACCACCGCCAGGTGGGTGACGACAGCCCGGCACGCCAGTGACGTGAGAGGCGGGGTTGTCGTCGGGGACGTGCGCCCTGCACCAGGACCTCGCGCCCCGTCGCCTGGCTACTACAGCCAGGTGGGTGACGACCGAGGTGACGGGCTGTCGACGGGGGCGTGCACCCGGCACCCGGACTGGGACTCCGCACCCTGTCACCTTGCTACTACCACCAAGTGGCTGAGGATGGCCTGGCGCGCCGGGCTGTGGAACCCTGTGGCTCCTGCTCACTTCAACCCCAAAAGGTCCGGATCACCGCGTGCTTATTCGGTGCCTGTGGCGCACTCAAGCCGTCACGCACCGTCGCCGTCCTGCACAGCGGCGTGTCGTGAAGTTGATGGCCGTTAGGACGCCGCCACCCTGGACAAGGTTCACCTTGGAGACACCCCGCTCTGCATGAGCTCGACTCCCGTTGTGCCGCTGCTAGCCAACCTGCCCAACCTCCGCGAAATGACGTGCTGCAACCGCACCGGGCTGGAGGCTTTGGCTGCCTGAAAGTCGCTCCACGTCCTGGACCTCATCATTCAGACCAGCACCAAGTACGGGTCGGCAGCCGCGCGGGCCGCCACGCTCCTCCGCGAGGCAAAGTACCTGGGCCGGCGCGGGTGACTCGGCAGGCGGCGCCGGCGAGGACCTCGTCCTGTATGGCGTTGAACTCGTCGGGGACGTCGAGCGTGCAGGAGCCTACCGGCCACAACTTCGGCGGGGAAGTAGACTACCCCCAGCTGAAGTCGCTGTTTCGGCGCTCTGCCCTCGCTGCAGGTTTTGCCCCCCCCCCCCTTTTCCCACCCATACACGCTCTCCCACAACCGGCTGCTTTACTGAGATGTAGTGAAAGTCGTATCTAATGTACTGTTTTGTCTTGGTGTCTGGCGTATGTCCACAAACATGAATTGTGAAAAGGGCATATGTCCGGGCGTGATTAGTCAGAACGGCATAAGTCCTCTGGATCTATGGACATGGAAAAAGGAAGTGGACTCATCAATTTGGCATCATTCCAAAAAAGAAATGAAACATTGGGTCAAAATTAAAAATTGAGTGTGTCCATTTTTGGCCTTCAGCCAAAGAACGTCCCAGACGCTTGGCACTGTAGCATTTAGTAACAAAAACATTCCCTAACGTTCACCGCGCCGGCCACTCTTACTGTCAAAAAGCAGTAAATACTAGCAATCATAATATTTGGTGTAATTCATGGGAAACAATTGTCAGTGTGGATTATAAAGACAATTTTGAAGGAACAAAGCTGTCTAATCACAGCTGAATAAGCATGTGAGGATATAAATACAATTAGAACAGGTTCCATAGATTCTGGCATCTATTTTAATAACTGCACACAGCACTTCAAACATCTCCTTACCAACTTAGTTTGACAAGGAAAGAGTATAAATACAAATTTCAAAAAATTGCATTATTTAAAATGTTGTTGCTCACTGCTATTTAGGGGGTAAAATCAAATTCCACTCTGAATGTGGACGTCACACTTTGAAGATTGATAGCTTCACATAAACTACTAAAGAGCAACATAGAAATGTAATTATTTTGTAGACGTACAAGTAAGACACCACATATAATTACTTCATACAAAGTGGAGTCATTGCAAAGTGATGTGACCTGTGGTTTTCTCCATTTTCTGGATCAAAATCACAATCACAGGTGAGTGTTGTAGGCAGAACACTTTTCCTATTTGCTATCATTTACATTATTGACTGTAGTTTCTTGCACTTGATGATTAGATTTAAGCCTGATCCACAGCCCTATCGTAGGCTCGGTCAAATGAGTGGAGAGCTGCTTCTAGGTAGCGTAAGATGGTATCATTGATATTGTCAGGGGGGTTTGCAAATCCTCTTGCCAGGTTCCTTAGACGCCGGTCCAGAGAAATGGCCCTGGCTGTTCTTCCCCGGTTAGGAGGATTACCAATTCTCAAAGCTTCCGAATCAGCAAAAGCACTGCCCTCCAATGCCACCAAAGCAACTGAAATAAGGAAAAAATGATCACTAACTGATGCCACAAAACCAGAAAATTTAAACTCAAACTAAGCTTTTAAAATTACCAAGAAAGTGATATATGTTGGGATGACGAATCCCAACATAGTTGTTAAGCACTCTGTTGTGGCTTTCACAAGTGTTGTTGGTTCGATGGTAAGATCCAAATACACACATCCATTCCCTTCGAACTGGGTGGCCAACCCAATTCCGCCAGACATATGCAAAGAACGGTCTCATTCGGTTGTACACTCTTCCACCAGCTTGCCTGGCCTGTCGCAGAATAAGTATAAAACCTCTTTGAATTAGTCTCATGGGGAGAAGAGCCAAGGCACAACATAACTTGACCAATCTCTCATAAGGATGCCTTCGGAGCAAGTGGAACATCCCCAATTCTTCCTTTGCATATCTGATGAATGCCTACAATGTTAATTCAAATATTACTTGCTATGAAAGAAAAGGGTGAGGAAATTAGGAAGTTAGAGTATTGCTTTTGCTGTATGCTTACTCGGAAGAGATGGAAAAAACATCCTTGGAGTGTGACATTAGGAAATATTTCAGCAACTGAGTTGTGAATGGCCAGTTCAAAGTCAGATATGAAACGCTCCAGATTGGGCAAATCCCGGAGAAGGGCTCTGACAGTAGTCATTACAGCTGTGTAGGCAGCCTGGGTTCTTCTTTCCATCAAAACCCAACCTAATGGAATTATGGTATGGTCCCAGTTTGCCACTAAAGCAAAAATCTGAAGAAGAAAAATTTACACATGTTAACTTTTAAGGCTTATAATCAGTAGTGAACTATTATGACTTGTATACCTGAGCTGCATCGTTGTCTAAGCCCTCCATGGCCGGCAAGGATTTAAAAGTGCCATCTCCAAACAGAATAGACATCCTCTTCATGAGTCGTGCCATTCTTCTAGAGATGAAAAGTATGTGATGTGACCCATCATCAGCAGTGATGCTTTGAGCGTAGAGGTTGTCAGCGCCATCACTAGTCTGAGTTATCACTCGGTATCTTGGGTCCTGGAGTATCTCAGTTAGATCATGGAGAGTTTGAGGTGCTGGAGGGAGAGCAGACAACCGAGCCTTCTGCATTGCAGATCTCATGTTCGACATTCTCACACGTACTTGTACTCGAATGGGGAACCTGGGAATGAAAGAAAAAAAGAGAAGATTTTAGATTTAGTTTGAAGCAATTGTTGTGAGAGCCCCGTAGTTGTCTACTTAACACACACTTACCTTGCACTTTCCTGAGTTAAAATTTGGCGGAAAGTTGACAATTCTAGACGCCTACAGCGATTCAGGATTCTACTGCGTAAAAGTCTTACTAGGGGAAGATAAGGGTCCTGGTTACACACATTGTGGTTCCTTGTGTGAATAAAGCCCCTTTGCATGTCACAGAGTGCCCTCCCTAAGCACCCTGTCTCATAACGTATACATTTGAAGTATATCACTTGTGCTTTTCGAGCGTTTTTGTGGTAGTAGTACCCGTCGTTGACATGATAAAACCAAGAGCGCGCGCGAGTCCCACGTTGCCGTCTGAGCCGGTTGATGCACACCATTTTGCCCAACGTAGCACCATAGGGCTTAACCTAAAAACAAATAACAAGTCTAAGGGTTAACGAGGGCGAAATGAGGTACACGGGTTGCGGAAACTAAGTCTGATAAACTGAAGAATTTTGTTGTCAACTTACACATCATCATTATGATTAAAATTATCAAAATGAAGCTAGAAGGCCACATTTCCTCAACTGTCCATCCCGCTTCAAAAGGTGTTCTGATGTGATTGGTGGTTCAAACTGTACCCATAGATATGAGAAATTGGAAAGTCTGATTAGTCGTCGTCTGCATCTGTCAATAGCAAGAAGGGCAACATGGCAGCTGCAGCTGCACCCTGCACCGACTGAAATGACCAAGAGTTGAATCCTTACCAAGTAAATTTATGCAACAACAAAATAAAAATCCCAAACTAAATTATTTGTAATAGAAATCATCCCACTTAGCAATTTCATTTTAGGTATCTTACATACAAACCCGATTGTAGACAAGTATTATGAAATATTGAAGAAACGTTTTAATAAACCTCAGAATAATAAACCTTAGACAAATAAAATCTTCTTGCTTTGTTTCATGAGATACAGGCAAAGCTTTCTGATTGATGTACAAGTACAGAAAGGTATTGCTCTTCAGATAAAACAGAAATGGACCAGAACACACAAATTTTAGACCTTTCAACGTAGCTTGGCACAGAGGAAAACGGTAACTTCAGTCCAAGTAATATAGCTGGTCACAAATAGTGAGTCGATTCCTGCCCCACAAAGAAGTTCCACAGAACGTCTCAGATATAATTATATTGAAAAATACACAATTAACACAATGTTTGAGTCATGTAATTAAAAATTGGATTTTTGCAGTACACTTTAAAAGAAATGTTATAAAATAATG